ATTGAGGAAATTTTGGGATGTGGGAAGCACAAGGGCAGGGATGAATAGGACAGAGGACCACCAAAGACCACCAAAAACCATGCCTTCAAGGAGACAGCAAAACTCCACAAAGTGGGCAACGCAGGAAGGTTAACAATGCGAACACAAACTCCAAAAAGAACTTTCTTTTAACAACTTCTAACTGTAGAAATGTTTTTATGAGCTATGCAGAAAACCGTAATAAAAGTGAACAAGCTGGAAACGAGTAATCGTCGCCACAACACACAAGGGACATAAATCATTAACTCTTGCAACTTAATATTCAGAACAATTATCTGACTGTACATCCTGAGAAGGAAAGCACTCGCCTTGAAAGACCAGCATTAAGGAAGGAGTAACTCGAACTACAAATCCCAAGTATTACAAAGTTGTACACTTTGAAAGTGTGCAATGCATGGTTGTCTAGACATACTGTTATGTAAACATGTTCATGGGTACCACTGCTGACAGATATTAAAGAGGCTTACTCTTACAACTTGCTCATTTCCAGTTGACATTACAACCTGGAAGATCCCTAAACAAGATCGTGTCCATCTTTTCAAAATTCATTTAAAAACTGAACTGAAACTGTATTCAAAACAAAAAACTTGAAGAGTGAAAACAAACTGGAGATGATGAACAGAGTCCACTTAGAATTCAACGTCTAAAAGTAGAGCACAAAATTTCTGGACGAGTTCTCTCAGTCATGGGACTGAGCAAGTATAAATAAGTTACAACGTCCAACAATGGTTTCATTTCAATTATACAATATATCTTAAGAACTTTAACAACACAATAGGCAAACAAAAAGGCACTCCAAATCATAGTTTTTAACCAAAAATGGTGCTCATTGTTCCGGAATATATCACTTAAACAGGGCACACCTAGCTTTTGAGAGAGCAGTGCTTTTGACACTATAAAATAACTAATTACTATAATAATATATTTTTTTAAGGTAACCAGACTGCTATTTTGGGAATATGATGTCACGTTTATGAAAACACACTTCGCATAGCCCACAAAACAATTGCTCTGATACACACACTAGTGGGATTGTCTTCCGCACACCAGTGTGGGTCACTCACCTCTTTTTCCAACAGACACTCAAAGTGCTCTAGGAATTCGCACATGTCGTGGTTGGTCTCAAAGTCGTTGAAGTGGTTGTTCACCCACAGAAGAACTACTTTGGTCACCTGTGTGAGTACAATACAATACAGATCTGTGAAAGGGAAGAGTATGGCATGGGTATATATATAAAACACCCCTAAAATGGGCGATAAAATGATCTCAGGAATAGTCTCAGGGGCTAACAATCATTCCTAAAAGGCTTCGCTTAAAAAAACAAAAACAACTCTAAATGTATGCGAGTGGTTGGAGGGGGCCACTGGTAGCCCCTGCTCTTAAATTTTTCCTCTTTTATTTCCTCTGCCTGTTCAATTTCATAGCACTAAACTAGTGCTAATGTGTTGACATATCTTTTCTTTGAAATAAGCTCACATTGTAAGAGAATGTATATGTACAAATCTACAGAATAATTACTTTCCTGGCAAAATTACATCCTGAAGTGAATCCTCCTCCTCCCCCCCCCCCCCCCCCCCCCCCCCCCCCCCCCCCCCCCCTACACAGCACAAGGGCACGGACAAACCTTGTGAATAAGGAGGTACTTGAAGGTCTGGTCAGACTTGTACACCTTGACCACATGCTCCGGCATCTCGTTCCGATCATCCACGATGAGTCCAACAGATGTGATATCCGGGTTACTGGCGCTCAGGTGGTTGTTAAGGGTACCTCCGGCTGTTGATGAGGAGGAGGAAGTGGAGGACTTGCGGGATGGCTTGGAGTACAGGCTCTCGTCAGAGTGGTTGATTGAGCCGGACTCACGGCTGCAGGGAGGATGGAAGTAGTTGTACATATTCATATGACCAAGTATGAAACAAATCACACAAATATTCTTCACCAAGAAGAAATAAGGGTAAGAAGGCAAGCATGATATTGATAGGTAATATTTTTTTTCTTTCTCACTTTGCAGGCTCCATCTATTTATGAAAACCTAAATTTTTAAAAACATTTTGCATTTCATGCTCTAACTGACCACAACAAAAACTATTCAAAGAAAAAATACTTTTATCGAAGGAAAACTATCTCATATATATATTGATGAAACAAAGCAACTTTTTTTTTTCTGATGTAGTCCTCTGAGCACACCTTCCCAAAAACTAACCAACAAAATCAAAACCACAAAAAAAAATCAAACTACGAGCAAACCAACAGGCACTTACCCATTCAAGTTCTTGGGCATGAAGTTTATTCGTGTTAGAGCTTTCCGCAATCGGGAAGTGGACCCAAAGATGCCGCTGCGTTTCTCTGTCTTTTTGCCATCCCCTTGCTCTGTGAACATGGGGGCCGTAGAGTCCAGGTCTGGCACAGACAGTCGCTGCTTGGCATTGGGCACATTCCCATCTTCCCGCTTTACTTTGCGTGGAGTGTTCTTTTCCGAGGCTCTCAACATGTCTTTGAACTCTGTGAACATTTAAAAAATCAAAAAGTTAATAACAGCAAAAGCAAAATATGAAGCTTTAAGTCAAGTTTTGATGGAAGAGAAACACATGGCAACAATGAAACTAAAAACCATGGAATTATTAGACTATGTACAATTGGAGATCAATTCTGCCCCTTTCTGCAATTCTCATTTCAAATCAACACCCCCCCCCCAAAAAAAAAACCCCAAAAAAAACCCAACAACCCCCCCTCCCCCCCCAAAAAAAAAAACCAAAAGAGAAAAAAAAATGTTTAAAGAGCAAACCAAATTAAATGTCTAGTTACTATAGCCAAGACTTTTTTTACCTTGCAGGTTTGACTTGACAACAATGGACAGGTGGGTGGTTCCCCGCAGAATTTCCAGTGCTTTGTTGTAGTAGATCTGCTGGAACTTGTGCCCATTTACTTCTAGGATCTGAAGACAGTACACAGGGAAAATGACATAGTAATAGTTCAAAGTGTCTAAACTAACTGGAACAACTTGATCAGACAACAAAAAAATGATGTTAGTATAATGGTTATGCTCTTTGGCTTGCATGAAAAAGACATGAGATTGATTCCCATGCGCAGAACACATCTTGTGGTGTCTCAAACATCCCTGGTTGGCTCTGACCGACAGGATCAGGCAGCCTCTTGTGACTCAAAAAACGTTGATACTTGTGAAAACAATTTAAATCTAATTCACGTAATAGGTGAGGAATCAGGGTATCATGTGATGAGTAAACTCGATTACATAAAACTTTCACACTTACAGGTCACAGGGGTGTGTCCTATCGCAAGACATGTTAACCATGGCCCAATAACACAGTGCTGCATTATATATACCAGCAGTGTTGTGCCTGTTAGAATTAGTATTGAATGATTTGCTTCCTTCCACAGTGCAAGAATAAACTTCTTCAGGATGAAGACAATGGGTAATTTACTTTAGTTGCATTTTTTAACGAAGTCTCCCTTCAGGCAAGAGAAACATTGAGAAGGTAAACTGACGAAATTTATTCTTTTTTTTATTGGAACAAAGACGGTATAACTTCTGTAATTCTGTGCCAAAACGGATTGGCTGGTAAATAATTAAATGCGTACCTGATCCCCCCGCTTCAAGCCGGCCTCTGCAGCTTTAGACTGTGGCTGGACCTTGGCCACAAATATGCCATGGCCTTTCTCAACACCACCAAGGATTGAAAAGTGCAGGATCTCTTCCCTCGTGGCTCGCGTCAGGGTCACGGTGCGCAGTCTCGCCTTGGCTGCACACGCCATGTTCAGCAAACTCAGCTGCCCCATCAGTTTCTGAGGTAGGAAAGGATGGTATTATATTCATATAATATCTTAGTTGCAAGTGGTACCTGTGTTATTTACGGTTAAATCATTTTCTGTATGATAAATATATTATATGCAATATGCCTGCACAAAGGACAGAACTAATAGGGGAATAACAATGTAATAGGGGAATAACAATGTAATAGGGGAATAACAATGTAATAGGGGAATAACAATGTACAAAGGCATGAAAACGGGTTACAGAAATTGTGTCAGGGAAATACTTATGGTACACAAAAACATGTACATTTCATATATCTATTTGATAAGAAAATTTGCCCAAAAATAGTTAATTAAGTGATGAGAAATGGCAACATGCCTGATTAAAGTAATAGACAGAGCAACAGAAGCATTCAGTATAGTATGTATAGTATAGTATAAGGTTTTACGGCGCTCGCAACTGCTAAGGTCATATGAGCGCGCGAAACACAAGTTGTTCACTTTTGCAAAAGTTCCCTTCACGACTGGTTAACTAATTTACTTTAAAATGCTAAAAAGTTAAAATATTTAAATTCGGTGTAAATACATTTGTGATTTAAAACAACTCTTTTAAGTAACAATAAAAATTTTAAATAATATCAAATTCACTCTACAACTCGCCATAAAGGCCAATGGCCTTTATAAAATTTAAAATTCTGCTGGGAACAACGACGGAAAAAATATCCTGCAATTTCTTGCATTTATAATATTTCCTTCGGATCTCTCCAAAGTCTAGACATTCTGTTAAAATGTGTCTAATGGTGAAATCTGTGTCGCATCCGACACAGAACGGCTTCTCATCTCCCTGTAGGAGGTATTTGTGGGTCAGGGCCGTGTGTCCGATGCGCAATCGAGTAAAAATGACTTCGTCTCTTCTGGAGAGGTCCGAAGGATTTCGCTGTTCTAGTTTGGGTTTTATTTCATATAGTTTATTATTTTTCTGGTTTTCCCAGTGGCTCTCCCACAGACTAGCATTAAGTATCAATATTTACTTGTGGACAATACATATGCAAAAGTAACTAGACTGAAATGAAGTACTTTAATTTAAACGGCACGAGAGATAGGAAGCATGTGAACATAGCAAACAAGGTGTTCGAGTACAGGTAATGATGTTAACATATTAACATATTTATGGTTATTTCGTGTTTAAAAGATGTTTAACTCAAAAACAATTACAAAATTAGGAGAAAGATTGTAAAGATTGAGAATTATTTAAGACAAAATTCCTAAAAAATAATAAACCTGTGTAATTTAATATACTATAAAGTGAGCAAGGAAATTTAGTAGTAAGGTATATACCGCGAAGAATATATTATATTGTCTCTCAAATTTCAAAATACAGACAGTTTTATTCTCTCAGAGTTTCTCAATTACATGCATGTGCAATACTGATTGTTTGGGGGTGGGGGAGGGGGGGGGGGGCATGATGACGCACATATTTTTTAGATAGACATGATAACAGCTTAGTTAGTATCATCTTCACAATAAGTTACACAGATAGCACAGTATTTTTTAAGAAGAAAAAGGCTTCAAGACATACTAGGAGTAATTGAGAAAGGGTTAAAAGTTTTTAAAAAACAGAAAGAAACATGAAACCATGTCCTCTTGCACAGTTTGACTATAACATTTTTAGTATTCAAAAACTAACTGAGAAAAAAGAACCTTCACCAATCTGTTATTTGTACGAATGCCTTTACTACATTTCCATAGGCCCTACCTATGTCCCTCCCGCCCCCCACTCCCCCACACTGTTATAATCAATGTAGTCAACATATAGGAACACCTTCAATTATCTATAAGGTTTACATTTCCTCCTCCTTTAGAGTAAAGGTGTCATGTTAACAAAGTAGAATTCCTCATAAAAAAAGTTCACCCCCTGCCCATTGCCCATAAAAAAAAGTAAAGAAATGGGAAAACAAAGGAAAGAGAAAGCCAACTAAAAGGTCATGCTACTGTCTACAACTGCATCATACAAAGGGTAAAGAGAAAACTAGAGAGAAAGTAGCAACATGAAGAAGACTACATCACATAATTTGTTAAAAATCAATATATCCTTTCGAGCTCTCTGATGATCACATTCTTTTGTCTCACATACTTTACGTTTGACATATCCTTTGACTTAACTGATTCAGCCTGCAGATAATTTTGACTTCGGATGCAAATAATTTGCTGACCGCTTCGCGACCTCACGGGTTTTTAGTTTTAGTAGAGGTTTTACGGCGCTCGCAACTGCATAAGATCATATGAGCGCCAGAAGATTAGAGGTGTTACAAGAGAGTAACAAACATAAAAAAAGAAGAAGGGGGGATAAGGACGATGGATGTTTGATAGGAAAGAAGAAGCAAACCACACCAGAGCACCCGCCAACCACCCACGACCTCACGGGTGGTCTCACAAAAAGTTAATAAAGAAATATATAATTTTGGTAAAACCTCTCTGTGTGGCACATAGACGTTCAGAATAAAAATTACTATTCAATGACACCAGAAAAAAAAGGGTTGAATTGTAAGTGGAAAGGAAAAAAGAAAAGAGGAAAGTGATGTGAAGAAAGGGAGCAATATATAAGAGCCGCTCTGCATCAAAACACAGGAGACAGTCAGCTGCGGAGAGGTGCGCTGTGGGCTGAATCAGTAAAGCCCCGGTGATAGTTAACAAATCCCCAGCTGACAGCATTTGCTACAGTGCTGTTGTCCATTTTTCTCACTCTTGCTCATGTGCTTGAGCAATGAGGTTTTGACATGATCACAGTCCCTTACATATCTAGTATAGTATTCATAATCCATCCTTCAATACATTCTGTACAGAAATATATATTGAAACAAATTTATTGTCAAAAAAGAGGAATACAGAGACTCGCTTCCTAGTTGAAGCCAGAAACTTTGCAATTGTCAATTGGACCAATTTTAGCTCTACCATGAAGTCACACATGTTACACGTGTTAGTAAAGCAACCATAATTTACAACATTTTGCACTCCCCAATACTTTTGACCCATGTTGCACGCTTCCTTTTCCATTATTATACAGTTATTCAATATCAACCCAGAAACATTCAGATTCATTTTTAAAAAGAGCCAACATAAATACTTGGAAGCTCTTTATTAATCACAGTAAGAAATGAAAGTTTAAAACTGTCATTTTATCCATCACCCCAAGAGCATTTAGTACAAATGAGTAATCAACTTAAAAAGAACCTGTATAGAGCACATGTATTATCATACTCCCCAGGATATGTCAATCACAAGGAATATTTACACATGAGTAAATTAATGGTGACAGTATTGAAAGAAAGCTTGGGTTAACAGGTGAAAAAGCATTGCTGATTTGAAGCAGAAAAATATACATAAAGCACATATTATAAAAGGCAAAAGAGTACACAATTGTAGGGATCTGGAGTAAAACAATAGTTGTACAGCTTTCTTGCAATAAAACAGCAGCCACTGTTTAAGAACCTTCCCTTCCATTCAGAAACATGACTTCATGTCATTTCAATCTACCCATCTAAAGAGTCCACATGATCGTGTATTTGTGATTTCCAGTACACTTAAGAACCTGTTTCCTCATTACTACACAATACCACCCAGATTGTTGCGACATCAGCACAGTACAGGAACCCAGCACTTCAATAGGACTACACATGGCAGTAACTACTTTTTTTTATTTTTGTAGATGGGGATTTTTTTTTCTGGGAAGGAGTGATAGTAAAGCCCATTCATTTACTGGAGCAGTTTAGCTTATCTTAATCAGACAGTGAACTTATACAGTGAGGCATTAAAATAATTTTGCTTCTCATGGGATGAAGGATAATTGATATATTCCAGAGATTAAAAGCAGTTTTAAAGAGATATAATATAAAAAGAAGAGGTATAAAAGCCAAAGTAGAATCCCGCTACCTCTACACAAAGCTATCTTACCTCAAAATCATTTTCAGACTGAGAATGAAACAAGTAGTATTCAGAGGTACAGTATACAGGCGGAAAGCATCAATAAAGAGTACAAAAAAGAAAGCCTCTGAAAGGTAAGGTGAAAAAATATTTGATAAACAACATAGCACATACACTTATTAAGACAGACATTGTCCACGGCCCCAAAAAGTAAAACTCACTAAAGCATATCTGTTTTGACATCCAAACCATCGGCTATATTGTCATAAAACCCCAAAAATCCACTCAAAATAACTTCCCCTTTCTAGGGTACTAATTTTTATAACTTTGCATCTAACAGCTTCAATTTCTGTTACTGAGGAATTGAGGATGTGTCTGAAAAGAGCGAAAGTGGGTAGAAACAACCTACATGTAAAGACCTACAGCTTTTCACAAACGCCTTCACAGAACAGAAACTGAACATAAAATTATGACAATCTTTGAAACAAAACAAAAGTGGTTCCTTTTCTCGAGTGATTAAAACTTATATTATGAAAAAATTACAGAGAAAGCTCTTTCATTACACTGTCATAACCATAAAGATGTTTTCGTGGGAAATACCAAAGTATCAAAGACAACAAAATATCTTTGGAAATACAAAAAAGTGAGAGCAGTAAACTACATGTCCATAGGGTAGCAGCCTTTTCTTCATTGCAGACCAAGAGTTATAAAAGTTCGTATTAATCAGACAAACAAGACCATGCAGATTGTGAGGACAGATGGGAAATGCCATGTCCAAAAGGTGGGATGGTTGTGTCAAGAACATGCATTGGTGACCACTGTGCAAACTAGAGGTTGGTTTAGATGCAGCAGCAGTTTTTCTTCCACAAAAAAAGTCAGGCATGTTGAAAAGCCTACAGACTCACACATATGAGACGTAGTATGATTCGGAGTAGTCAAATGCACATAACCTATACACCACGCAAAAGAATTCTGAACATTCTTTCCAGAACCAAATAGAAATGAAGCCTGTGCAACAGATGACACAACTGACAAACCAGACATCTTTCTGGTCACTTAGCAAGCAAGCTCCAACATAATGTTCTACTAATCATCTCAATGCTCACTGTGCACACGAAAAGCCCATTACAATGTTATGTTGGCGCTGACACAGATCAATAAAAACCAAAAGCTTTTAAAAATAACTCATCAAATCTCAGGAACAAAGACAAAGCAAACGGTGGCAACAGAATCAAAAACAAAATAAAATAAGACAACATTTCATTTAGGTAAACAGTGAAAGCTAGTTGTCAAATCTCAGAGTAATGAACTCTCTCCAGCACCCTCTGTCACATAGATTTTTAGTTCAGAACTAGATATACAGTTATGATCCTGTCATCGTCGTTTTAAGCAAGAAAAATTTCGAAATTATGCAAACTGAGCTAAAAAATGTGAAATTGTAAGATTCTGTTAATTTTAACAAAGAATGATAAAGGAAAATAATCAGAAATTATGCCAAAAATGATCAAATTTTGCTAAATTATGAGGGGTGCATAAAACCACGGGGACAGTAAATTATTTTTTAAAAAACCCCAAAATCTCAATCTTTTTTGCCTCTGAAAATGTTCCTCAACATCAAGATACAACAGAAATTTCAGTTCCAATGTCAATTTTCCGCTAATATGAAAAGCTGCAAGGCCCATATAAAGTTAAAACCTAAAACACTTTAAACACGATAATGAGCTTTAAGCAAATTCTATTAATACATTAAAAACAAAAAAAATTAAGCCCAACAAAATGACAAAAATAACAAAAACACAAGTAACAAAATAGCTCCAGAAAGAGCACTGAAACATGCCACCAATGTGTACAAACACACACATATTGAAGGCATTGTTTGAGCTCCATACAACATGCCACTCCAGCAGGCTGCACTAGCAGAGAGAGAGAGAGAGAGAGCTGTACTCTATTCCCATGCCCAGTACACACTCAGCCCACACTGATAACATGATATATAGCAAAAGGTCTGATTCAGGGCCCACAGCACTTACAACCCATAACCCCCCCCACCCCATCCCCAAGTTTTTTCCCCCCTTGAGAGTCTGTGAGGTCTTCCAAGTGAACAAAAAGAGATATTCCTATATCACTACAAAAGTGATACATACATATGCAAAAATGCAAGATTGATAGGTGCTATTGACCTGCACATATCCAGTCAGTCCATAAATCCAGAGTGCAAAAGCAAAATAATTCAACCCCTACCAATTCAAAAAAGAAAAAGACTTTTGCAGGAATAAAGGTTTTTACAAAATAGGAGCCAGGAAGAAAACATCGCAGTGCTTGTGCAATTTTGGAACTTTTTAAGAAGGTGTGAAAAAGTAATGGATTTTTAAACACATTGGGAGAAAAAAAAAAAAGAAAGAATGATTTCCGAGTGCAATAGGCCCTGAGTCAACTCAGATAAATGTGGAAAATCAGATCAAGTCTACAAACAGTAAACGCATTTATTACAAAAAGCGTCAATCTCTTTTCTATTTTTTCCCTTTGATTTACCCCTTCCATTTTTCCTTGCTCTCCAATTCACTGGGTTATAAAATTCCATCGTTGCTTAAATTTTTCATAAATCGCAGTTGTCATATACCCTGTGAAATGACCATTTTTCTCTTCAGGTACAAATGATTCCAAACCCAGTGCTTTGATTTCCTTTTCTTAATATGAAAGCAATCAATTCCACATTCTGTGATTTTCTACCTTTTCTAAACATTTAATCCATCCCACATACTCAGAAAATCACTTCGTTTTCATGAAAAATCTAAGTCATCCCATATCCAGCGAGATCATTTAATTCATTTTTATCTGATTTACTCCATCATATAAGGCAATAAAAATGGACCCTGTGTGTTTACTATAAGCAGACTTCCCTGTATAATGAGATGTCTAAGATGTATGACAGTGCCGTGCAACCTGGAGAGCTGGTGTGTTCAGACAAATGACTGAACCAATGCTAAATCATTGCAGCAGATAATTGCAAAACACAAAGAAAACATTCTGTCTATACCCAATGATTTTTTCACTCACTCTCTGTGAAAAAGGAACAAGTACATGGACAACATTATACAAAATGCAAGGGAGCAATTCAAATAAGAACAAACTGTACAAAATGAATACACATAGAACAATGTTAAAACCACTACACTGTGATTTCAAAGGAACAGAATGACAAAATAAAATCTCTGACAATATGTAAAAGGGAATATTTGCCTCTGAAGTCAAGAAAATTCACATATTTCATACAAAGTATGCTTATGATAAATTAACCTCTCCCTTCAGATTACATTGTTTTAAATCATAGTGAAACCTAGACTTTTTGAAGACTCAGAGGCTTAAAAATGAAATTATCTTAGCTGACAGATATACTGTAATAGAAATAATACTTAAGTACCACAGTTGTAAATCTTTAAATTACAGCCTGTGGAGAAACCTGATCTGGATAACAACCCAAATTCACAACAACAACAACAACAACAACAAAAAAGAGAGAGAGAGAGAGAGAGAAAGAAGCATTCCCCAGAAGTACAGGTAATGGGTAAAGGAATAGTTCTGATAGACATTGAGGAAATTTTGGGTTGTGGGAAGCACAAGGGCAGGGATGAATAGGACAGAGGACCACCAAAGACCACCAAAAACCATGCCTTCAAGGAGACAGCAAAACTCCACAAAGTGGGCAACGCAGGAAGGTTAACAATGCGAACACAAACTCCAAAAAGAACTTTCTTTTAACAACTTCTAACTGTAGAAATGTTTTTATGAGCTATGCAGAAAACCGTAATAAAAGTGAACAAGCTGGAAACGAGTAATCGTCGCCACAACACACAAGGGACATAAATCATTAACTCTTGCAACTTAATATTCAGAACAATTATCTGACTGTACATCCTGAGAAGGAAAGCACTCGCCTTGAAAGACCAGCATTAAGGAAGGAGTAACTCGAACTACAAATCCCAAGTATTACAAAGTTGTACACTTTGAAAGTGTGCAATGCATGGTTGTCTAGACATACTGTTATGTAAACATGTTCATGGGTACCACTGCTGACAGATATTAAAGAGGCTTACTCTTACAACTTGCTCATTTCCAGTTGACGTTACAACCTGGAAGATCCCTAAACAAGATCGTGTCCATCTTTTCAAAATTCATTTAAAAACTGAACTGAAACTGTATTCAAAACAAAAAACTTGAAGAGTGAAAACAAACTGGAGATGATGAACAGAGTCCACTTAGAATTCAACGTCTAAAAGTAGAGCACAAAATTTCTGGACGAGTTCTCTCAGTCATGGGACTGAGCAAGTATAAATAAGTTACAACGTCCAACAATGGTTTCATTTCAATTATACAATATATCTTAAGAACTTTAACAACACAATAGGCAAACAAAAAGGCACTCCAAATCACAGTTTTTAACCAAAAATGGTGCTCATTGTTCCGGAATATATCACTTAAACAGGGCACACCTAGCTTTTGAGAGAGCAGTGCTTTTGACACTATAAAATAACTAATTACTATAATAATATATTTTTTTAAGGTAACCAGACTGCTATTTTGGGAATATGATGTCACGTTTATGAAAACACACTTCGCATAGCCCACAAAACAATTGCTCTGATACACACACTAGTGGGATTGTCTTCCGCACACCAGTGTGGGTCACTCACCTCTTTTTCCAACAGACACTCAAAGTGCTCTAGGAATTCGCACATGTCGTGGTTGGTCTCAAAGTCGTTGAAGTGGTTGTTCACCCACAGAAGAACTACTTTGGTCACCTGTGTGAGTACAATACAATACAGATCTGTGAAAGGGAAGAGTATGGCATGGGTATATATATAAAACACCCCTAAAATGGGCGATAAAATGATCTCAGGAATAGTCTCAGGGGCTAACAATCATTCCTAAAAGGCTTCGCTTAAAAAAACAAAAACAACTCTAAATGTATGCGAGTGGTTGGAGGGGGCCACTGGTAGCCCCTGCTCTTAAATTTTTCCTCTTTTATTTCCTCTGCCTGTTCAATTTCATAGCACTAAACTAGTGCTAATGTGTTGACATATCTTTTCTTTGAAATAAGCTCACATTGTAAGAGAATGTATATGTACAAATCTACAGAATAATTACTTTCCTGGCAAAATTACATCCTGAAGTGAATCCTCCTCCTCCCCCCCCCCCTTTAGAAAATTGGCATCAAATACTCTTTCTTTCTTTTAGACAATAGTATGAGGGGAAAAAAAGGCAATTTCTAAAGATTTAATTAAATGACTTGAGTATCATCCTTCAACTCACGTTGGTCTTGAGATCGTCGTTTTGGAACCAGTCCAGCAAACGTCGGACCAGGTCAAGGGGGCTGCTGAGGAAGGTGCGGTGCGTGAGCAGGAAGTCCTCTACGTAGGTAGGGTCAATGGCAGAGTGACTCTCCACCAGGTGCTGCATTAGTCGCTCGGGGGTACCCTGGAAGTCACGACAGGAAAGAACATGTAAGTTAAAAAAATATATATATATTTTCATTAACAGTGGGTTCTTACTGTTGCAACTTTTCGTGACCTGAGGGAAGACCAATGTTCGATTAAATCATTTCCATTAAAACAATGATGGAGTGGCTGCTTACAATAGCCAACAGTCTGAAATTGCCATCATTAGCAAAACATTAACACTATCAGCGATTGCATGTTACAATTATTGCTCTTCTCCTCATTTGCTCTTGAGAAAACAGACAGCAAAAGACAAATCACAAAGGAAATGACTTCTTCAAAAACAAAAAAGATACAAATGCAAGTAGTATTAGCCCGTGACGGTTTGCATTCTCTTTCCCCATCCACTATTAATGAATGCTTCCTGCCTTCAAGGATGGGTATTTCCCCCACTCCCCCCTGTAAGTTTCCATTATAGATGCAGGATACTGTACTTGAACCTAATAATAGTAAAAGCTGTAGAGTAAAACAATGAAAGATTGTTTTCCTCTCACTGATAAATATCTTTTCCTGTGAAAAAAATCCTATTTCATCATCTTACTTGCAAACAGGAGTTTGAAAAGACACTACATTACATTGCAAGACAACTGAATTAATCACAAAGTGAAAGCACATATTCATATATTTTTCAGTGGTTGCTCACCAGAATTAACAAAGAGCATAAAGCTGACAATAAATCCACAGTTCAAGCGTACCCTAATGACTATGTGTCCCTTCCTGTTTCCTCCGTCCAGCTCTCTGTGCTCAGTGACCATCACAACACGACCTTTCTCTTCATGTTTCAGAATGTTCTCCTCACCCTGTGAGAACCAACAAGGTGTTACAATGTATAACATAAGTGGTATAGTCATAATACAGGGCACATCACCACGAAAACGACCAACAAGATATGAGTATGAAAAAGAGAAGTTTTGAGTTATTTGCTTGCTTCTAAGAGAGGCAGAGCTGCATGATATCTTTCATTTAAGACAGACAAACAGACAGACAGACAGACAAGACTGACAGACAGAAACCACATAGTGATAATAGAAAAAGCAAAACCTATCAGTGGGACCTTTTAACCACCACACTTTTATAGTTGAGACATTTAAAGCCATAACAAAGACATTTTGCCAGGAAAAAATCAGGAAACAGCAACAAGGAAGAAAATGAAAAAGGATAACACAAATGGATCCATTTTCATACAAATTCATGTCTAACAATACAATCATGTTTCATATTCCTCAGGTTGTGTTAAAAAAGACACCTTACCTTACCTTGCAAGGCAGTTGCAATTGAGAAACATTTATCTTTTAGATTTGACCCACTGCTACACCGAATGGCATCATGCAGAAGAGTTATCGCTCAGATGCTACTGGATCGCTAACAACAACCCACTGCTACTCAATGTGTACAAATGTTGTGATCCCTATCTTTGTGTTAAACTGACCAATAAAAAGTAATTTAGAAGTCAAAATATAACACTTTGGTAGTCTGATCACTAGTGTTTAAGGCAAAAGAAACCTGTTCAATAGGCATTTTTAATCAAAAATCCATAAACGAAAGCAGATAACAAAAACAACAATCATAAAAAGGTTTGAGGTTGAGTCTGAGTACAAGTTTCACTGCACCATCAACGCCATTTCGTTATGCTATGAAAAGGAATCTGGAAGCTCTGGCGTTACTTTTGACTGATTTCATGTGACCTAACTTGACCTACCTGGTGTAGAATCCTGTAGTAACTGGACTGGGCGATGCATACAAACTGGCAGTCGTTGACTATGGTCCTCATGACCCCCTGGTGGTACAGCTTCTCCATGGTGGGGCTGATGCCGAAGCTAAACAATGGTACACAGAGAGAACAACGGTGAAATAATTTTTTTAATTTAGCGTTTTCCCATTTACTTGTCTAAAAATTCAGGACCAACTTTTCAAAATTTGCCAAACAAAAGAACCCCCCAAAAAACAGAACATTAAGCACTCTCTGGGAGAGAAAATCATTCTTTAAGTATCATTCACTGTCATTAAAACTGATATTGTAATCACCATTGTTATTTGTAGTAATAGTAATCAAACTAACCTGTCCCCCATCTGCAGGCGTTCCCGGACCCCATGGGGCCGTGTGATCTCCACCTCCCCGTTGAGAATGACAGACCAAGAGTCCAGCTCTTCCCCATCCTTCATGACGATGGTGCCCTCCTTGGGAACGATGGCAAACACCATGACCTCGCACAGGAGCCTCCGCGTGTGCTCTGTCATGTTAGAGAATGCCTGGGGAAGTAAAAGTAAAAGGTGAAGACCCTGCTCCTAAACATCACAGCTAGTGTTTTCAATCAAGAGAGAAGAACAAATACACATTTATGGTAATTTATAGACCAATTCAGACAAGCTACTGATCTTTGATCGGGGATGAGCTAAACAGATGAAGAGGTAAGACACACTGACTTGATAATGGTAATTAAAGATAAGACATGACAAAATATACTTACAATCCTCCTTCATTGGACAAAAAATACACTGATGCAAGGCAGAAGAAGAACTGAAACAAACTGCCATGATTACAGTCATTAACTTTTTGGAATGAGCATGAAAGACAGACAGAAACAAGAAAAGGACAGTAAATAGGGAGAACCTATCAGTGGCCTCCTGAACTGACCAAGGTTTTGAGTGCAGTTGATGTCAGTACAAATTAACCCTTCGCTTCCACCTCAATACTCCGAGACCAAGTGTTGGTAAACGCTCAAGCAAATGTACTGGCAATGTAAATAAATAAACTTGTGACACTGACAATCTACATACAACTAATGTGTACCAACTGACAGACTTTGAATGGGAAGTAAAGATTGGGTCCAGTTCAGTTGCTGAGTTGTTGCTAACAACCTGCCAGTACCATAACTTCATTACACCAGACACAGGTAAGGACAATAACAAGATTGACAGAAACGAAGCAGAAGCAGTAGACCACACCAGAGCCCCCAGCACAAACCTTAAGATGCTGCGTAAAGTTGAGCAATATCTGTATGTCTTCCTCCGTTCTTTCTGAGGGCTCTTTCTCCAGACAGTCCCGCTCAGCATCACGGATCGTAAAAGACTGGAACACAAAAGGGAGGGAACTTAACATGTTTTCAAATAGTTGTCAGTGAAAACTTTTCATGAAATTTTAAAGCAGGAGCAGCAAAACATGCTTATTATACTGTTAATACTATGTGCATACCCTAAAATAACATTTTATTCATGGTTGGGAATAGTGAGTAAGCCCCTCTCCCTAATCCGCACCACAAGCTGGGAAATGTCTATAGTTTTTAGAAGGTGTGCACTGTCCACATAATATTTGACCAAAAAGAGCTTCATGTCTCCCAGAAAATGACATATGACAATGACATAACTACTACCCTCAATGTCTCCAAAATGTCAAGCCTACTCCCAGAAAATGATATATGACAATGACATAACTACTACCCTCAATGTTTCCAAAATGTCAAGCCTACTCCCAGAAAATGACATATGACAATGACATAACTACTACCCTCAATGTTTCCAAAATGTCAAGTCTACTTGAGCCGTCATTCCCTTTCTTACCTCAGTGGACTCAGCATAGCCCTCCTCATCATCCGAGTCGACCATGCTCTCGGCCAGCCCACTCAGATCGACGTCCGGCGCCTCCGGGTCATCTAGTGAGGTGTGCATCACGTCCGAGCCGCTGTAGGCGCTGGACGTGTCACTGGCCCGGGACAGACGCTTGCTGCTGCCTCCCCCACCCCCCGCATGCTCGTGACCCCCGACACTCCCTGCAGAAGGGTAAAACTGCTCTGCTGAACCCAGGTACGGGTGGGTACCGCATGCGGCATCGTCTGGCATCTGACAGGGAAAAGACACAAAGAACAGGATAAGATCTCGTATGTTTGGTTTCTATCATGCACAGTTAAGGACATATAGCCACAAAAGTTGCCAGCTACTGGTGATCTACTATCGCTCATTGTTTTTTAGGTTAGATCTATTGAACAAACACGAAAATAAAACTAACAAAAACAAAATGCGATCAAGTGGAAAGTAACGGTTCTAATCACCACTTGTGAAACACAGGCTAGCCTAGCACTTACATACATAGTGAACATTCACATAGCAAAACACACAAATAGCGAATCGACTTCCCGGTTTCAAATTTTTTCCATACATGTATATTCTTGGTACGTAAAACACAAAACATAGTGGAATTTTTACACAATAGAACTATTTCCGTGTCCCGCCGATTTCGCTATGTGCGTGCAGCATATATAAACCAAACAAACCAAGACGGTTTCCTTTGGCAATGGCAGTTCCTGCAAGGGTAACACGACTTCTATAAACAAACATCTTCACTGAGCTAACAATAAATTGTGAAGCCGAGAGCGGCACATCTCAAGTGGTCCCCTGCCCCCTACATACCTGCTCGATGACGCTGTCGGAGTTCATCCTCCTCATGGGCCTGGAGCCGGCCTGCGCCTCGTGCTGCTGCTGCAGAAGGTACTCCACGTTGGACGCCGACACCACGGCACGCGCCTGGCTCGCAGACTTCATGGCCGCCGCATCAGGATAGTCGATCTGTGGACACAGTCATGTTTGTTTTGTTGGAGTACCAAGAAGCACATCCACACAATAATGGTCATTTCGTGCTGACAAAAAGTAAGACGGGCAGACAGAAACAACAGAGGGGAAAGTAAAGAAGTAAAACCTACCAGTGGCGCCCTCCAACTACCCACAGGACAGATTTAGTTTTGGTTTTCGTTTAGTTTCAGTGAGGGTTTTACGGCACTTGCAACACAATAAAGCCATATACGTGCCGAGGATTACAGGTGTTACATGAGAGTAACAGCCACAAAAAAGTAGAAAAAAGGACGATAGATCTGATAGGAAAGAAGGAGCAAGGCAAACAACACCAGAGCACCCGCCAACCACCCACGACAACAGATTAAAATGGCAGAGTTGGAGAAAAGTACATCAAGTCCACAGTTTCAGTTTGAGTGAAGAGAAGCACACGGACATAAAGACGATCGGTCAGCACAGGAATAAAGAGGGAAACGAAAACAACAGAAGTAAAACAGCAGCAGCAAAAGCTGTACAAGGAATAGAAAGGGCAGCAACAGCAACAGCAACAGCAGCAGTGGCAGCGGTAGCGGTAGTACCAGTATGTAGTAAGTCCCCTTAAACACAATAAAGGCAATTTAAGACACTGGGGTTTCAACATACACAACAAATGTCATTTTCCCCCAAGCCACGAACTCCCAGTTTTCGAGTCCGGATGAGGTGAGTTGACTGACAGAAAATTATTGGTCCCTGAGATATACAACATTAAATTTAAAAAGAGCAAGAATAGAAAACAAAAAGAAGCACTAAAAGGGAGTGGGGAGTGGAGAACAATACGGCGGCTATA